AGTAATTACACGTATTGATGAAAACACATCAAAAATTAAGTTTTTGAAATCTTATTTGAATGATTTTGTATGGCCAAAAGTTGAAGACCTGCAAACAGTTGATAACCGGTATATCATATATGGTCCCATAAAACTAATAGGAAACGACCCGTTTCAACTAACGAGAAAAGGTAGGCTGGCAATAAAAAAAGTATATAATAGCTTTAAATATTTTAAAGTGTAAAAAAAGGAACAAATAAATTACATTCTTAAAATTCTGATGTGTTTTTTTCATAAACATGCATAATGCACAACTACACACATGTATATACTATGTATATATGTGTATATACCATGGACATTATGTGGGCAGTAAAAGCAGTAACTGGGCAATGTTGGAAGTAAATAGGCAGTATAGGCAGTATATGCAGTAAATTGGCAGTAAGGGCAATAAGAAGGCAGTATAAGCAGTAAGTAGGCAGTAAAGGCAGTAATTAGTCAGTATAAGCAGTAAGTAGGCAGTAAAGGCAGTAATTAGTCAGGTGGTTCGGCAATACGTGTACAAATATCAGGCTAGTGGTTGACCCCTCGGGGTCAACCACTGTCGGCAATACGTGCACAAATTTTATGCAGTACAAAGGCAGTACAAAGGCAGTGACGGCAATACTTCGACAGTATCGGCAGTATGCAGCTGTAAATAGGCAATATAGGCAGTACGGGAGGAGTACTTCGGCAGTACATGCAGTACTTCGGCAGTACATGGGCAGTATCCGCAGTAATTCGGTAATATTCAGCATTTAAGTCTCACCTAACGTACTCTCTTAAAATGAATTAGTCAAATATAACTAATTATAAGTTATATTTGACAAATTGTCATAGCGAAAAAGCAGTCACTAATAATTAGTCAAATTCTACTGAATAAAATAGTCAAATTAGTAGATTTAAATTTAAAAAAGTTTTGACCCAGCCGGGTATTGAACTCAGGTCTGTCACATGTCAAGCTTGTCAAGTTGTTGTCATAACCAATGTGGCTATTAGCCGCTCTTATAAAAATTATATACCTAATATTTTAAAGTTGAATATATTATTTGTGTTGCTGTTTTAAGCTAAACTTTTTGCATATTTGATTGATTTTATGGGCCATTTAACCATGGAGCCTATATATATATGCATTTAATTAAAATAATACTTTGTTGTTGGCCGCAGAAATAGTCAAAGATTAACTATTTACGTAGTAAAAAATAAATATTTAAAAGTGAAAACGACTATTTTATTAGTAAAAATGCTGGTACTAATTTAAATAGTAGAATTTTGGCTATTTAATCTTCCGATGCTCGTTCCGAGGTATCTCAGTTTTAATTTTGCAAACTTATTTGTGTGTTTTTGCTTATTAGTTTAACTGTGTGTTAATATATATATATATTTAATGTTTAAAAAAAAACATCTGAATTTTAAGAATTTAATTTATTGTCCCTTTTTTACACTTTAAAACCTTAAAATATTTTAAGGTTTTAAAGTGTAAAAGAGGGACAATAAATTAAATTCTTAAAATTCGAATGTTTTTTTTTTAATAAACATACATTCATAATTCACAGGTAAATACATAATATACATATATGTAAAACTATGGACAGTGTGTGGGCAGTAAAGGTAATGTTGAAAGTAACTAGGCAGTAAGTAGGCAGTATAGGCAGTAAGAGCAATAAGTAGGCAGTATAAGCAGTAAGTAGGCAATAAAGGCAGTATAAGCAACATAAGCAGCATAGGCAGTAAGTAGGCAGTAAAGGCAGTAATTGGCAGTATAGGCAGTTCGGCAATACGTGTACAAATATTTGGCTAGTGGTTGACCCCTCGCCTTGGCTTATAGGGTCCTCAATTATTATAATCAATAACCTCCATATAATATATAACTTTTGAAGGAGTGAAGAAAAGAATTACCTAAAAACTTGGGGATCACTAAAAGGATCATAAAAACTACATTCTTAGATATTTTAGAACCTCCATGCAACGTAGAGTTTTTTTAGGGGATGACCACCCCAACATTTTAAATAGCAACCCCTGTCGAGTTTCACCTTATTTTAAAGGTAATGAAAAAAGAAACACATCCCCATAAACCAAAACCCGATATCTTAATTGTTTCAAGAATTATGAGGGGTTGGGTTGTTTTCTTGTGGTGTTAAAAAAAGTTAAATATTAACTGTTTTAATAGTCTATTATGTAATACATAATATCACAAAGAATATTGAAATAGGCCCAATCACCGTACAAGGCATTAAATTAAATAAAAACGAAAAATACTTACCTATTCCTTTAGAAATAAAAAAATTAAAACCCAGAATAGTTTCTATAAATATAGTCGTCGCGGCGAATGTTTCAAATTTCGTCATGAATGTCGAATGTCAAAAACCGATTTCTCGACATACGGTTAACCTAGCGGTTCCTTGGATTATATTCGTAAAAGAAAACAACAATAATTGTAATGTCTGTGCTTGGTTCAGAATTTAATGACGCAATTTGAAACATTCGCCGCGACAACTATACCTACCTCAATATAAAAATAAAATTACTATTACAATATTTTTCTACTCCTAATAGGAGTCTCCTATTGCATATTATTGACATTATTTGGTTTTTTTCATAAATAATGGTAACCAATATAACCGCCCGGCCTAACAACGGGAATATTGAACTCATTATTTACGTTGTTAGGCATCAGTGATTGGCCAATCGGGTTTTAAATTGGGAAAAGTACGGAAAAGTAAAGATGTCAGATTTGTTTATATATACGAGGGGCGACTATAATGATCTTTAAAATCGGGAAAAAGTGAGGTTATAATAAATTTTGTTATCAATAAAAATTACTTAATTGAAGTGACTATTTCCCTCGTCTTAATTTCCACCAATCACAAACGCGCAATTTTGAATTACAAATGGTTTCTAGGTGAAAAAACTGTGTGACAGCACCTGTCAGCAGTTTTTTCGAGTTTACCCGCGGCAAAACTTGACAGCTGTTGTCACCAAAAATTGCAATTTATATTTTAATTGTTAACTGTTACTCATGAAATAGTCTTGTCAAATACCATTCGGGCATCTAATTTTTCCTGTGAAAAAAATCAAAAAAACACAATGCTAAGTAATATTTTTTAACAAAATGCATTCGTGCAGGTGCAAAAATCCTCCTCTTCGACTCGGATTTTTGTTGCCACCAGCACTCATGCTTCTTGTTAAAATATTACTTAGCAACGTGTTTTTTCGATTTTTTTCGGAAAAATTAGATGCCCTTATGATATTACTTACGAAAAAAGCATAGTATTACACAAACTATGCGCATTATTTACTCGGATGGTGTACGTTTCTTCGCCTGACGGCTCGAGATGCAAACCTCATCCTTGTGAATAATAGCCTGCATTATCTCTCGTGTAATAATATACTATTTTTGTGTTAAGGTGTCATATTATATGATATTAAATTACATTTACTTAAGTTGATTAGAAAATAACAGTCAATATTATTTTTTACAAATGTTACATATTATGCCTTTATCCAGCTTTAATGCACTTGTCCCTTTAACTGTGTTATTCATTTTTCATTGTGAACTCATTACTAGATATTTTGTAATTTTAATATTTTTTTTACCAGAAAATTAAAAAATCTGCAAGCTATATACCTAGTATTCCTAAAAACTTTTGCTGATCAGACTTTTATCTTAAATCCGCCACTGCCTAGAGTAGGGTTGCCATATTTTATTTAAAAAAATAACGGACTTACCCCCTTCCCCCGACAAAAAACTTTTTTTTTAAATATTTATTACCTAAATAAAGATAGAGAGTCAGCTTAAAAAACATTCATAGATATTCTAAAAATAAACTAATACAAATAAAATAATGAAAACAAAACTTTCCTATTTATTTGGAAGACATAGAGGTACTTGCTTCTGACTTATCTTTTGACCATTCATATTTTTCTGATGATAACACTTTCTTTAAGATTTTTTTACATATGTCTGCTGACGCTGTATCCAAAGCCAAATAAATTAATAAACACTGGAAAACGCAATACTTTGTATTGTCAAAACACCAGCCAACCGTAGGGAATTCCCACGTTTTATGTCAATAATTGACAGTCAATTGGCCACGGAAGCGCAATGACTATAAAATAGTTTGCGTGCTTGTATTTATGTTTGTCCAGCTGGTAAAACAGTTCGCTATAGTTTTATACCGTGGTAAAAGGCTTGAAATGATAAATGGCAAATATAAAGTTATTAATATAAGGTTTAATTTTGGATTATAAATTTTAAAAATAACGGACACAAAAAAATAACGGACCGGACAAACGGACGCTCTGAAAAAAACGGACTGTCCGTTAAAAAAACGGACGTATGGCAACCCTAGCCTAGAGGCGTTTTAAGAATATGTCATGTTTTACCCAGTCCATATGTTAATTAGCCTATATTCAGTTCTAGGAAGTAAATTGGTCATAATACTATTCTGATAATAGTTAAAAATGCATAAAACAATATTAAAGAAACAAATCAGTTGGTACCTATTAATTCCCTTCTGTTTATTTACTTAAAACGAATTCATTTCTTAAAATATTAATTATGTTTATGGTTGTGCCTTCAGGGTATACCTAGGTAGGTGGTTATTTTTTAGTATGCACATGTTGGAATTACCTTAAATGTTATTTGTGTTATAAAAAGAAAAAATAAGTACCTATGTAAAGGTAATCATGCTAAAATCAAGCCCTCTGTTTATTTTATTTAGACGTTATGGCAGATATCAATTTACAGCAGGCCAGTGCTGCAGTATGGCCAAGTTAACAGCAAGCAAAACCCAACCTTACAGTACAGGAATAAATGCATACAATTGAAAATAAACTTATTTGGGCTAAAGTAGAGATAAGTAGGTAAATTGTAAACAAGAAAGCAATCGTATACCGAAACACCTGCACATCGCCGCCGTTCGAGCATCGAATTTACACCCTTCTATCAAGGACACAATAAACTGTCATTTGTTACTTACTTCAAATGAGGTTAAATTTGGTGTAGCTCATCGTTGGATAACTTCTAACCCATGGTAGGGTCCACAAAGAACACTTTCCACGTCCATTATGTCAACTTTAATAGCGTTTTAGGTTAATATCAACAAACAAACAACACTTTGTATTAATTTAGCACAGGGCGATGCTCACGTACGCGCAACTGTGATGATCGCACCCGATAATATGCGCACGCGCCCAGAATGTCCCCAGCTGATACCATTGACAAAGTGCATGGAAAATATTTTGGTCATGTTATGTTGGCTATTTTGTTTATTCAAATATGCCCCTTTTTTGTCTACCGTTTTTCATTTTAATTTTTACCTGAAACAAATGACCTTGATCAGCAAGATTATACCATTAATATCTTTACCCTTTTTCGTAAATAAAAGCCCCAAATTAATACTTTTTAGAAAAATACTGTAGATTATTTTCTTTAATTTTAAATTACCTTTGTAGGTATGTTTTATAAAAAAACAATGGTACTTACCTAGGTAAGTAATCAACTGTGTGATAACTATATAGCTATCACACAGTTGATTAAAATAGAAAAAAAATATTACTTTAATCAACTGCAGTTAATCAATTTGTACTAAATAGTTACAATAAAACAAAATTAATATACCAGTCGCAAATTTTTAATTAAAGTTTTAAAATTATAGTAAAAAATAAAAAAAAAATCCCAAAAAGCAAGTTTTTGGGCAGTTGTCTCCCCTTAAATTAATACCTACCTACCAATGAACAAAAGCACCCACACACAATTGTTATTAGACAATTGTTATTATAATAATTTAATTAGAATAAACTAATAATTATTTTTATTAATCCCCTGAATTTTAAGATCTTTATTTTATATAGCCGCTCTGTTTTACAGAAAGCCATAACTGTGTATTTATGTAAAATTAAAACCAAAACATAGATGGCAATGACAAAAATAATACCGTCAACACTTAATAGATGGCGAAAAAGTTTTGAATTTGCCGGTAAAGCAGATTTCTTGTCCTAAGTCAAATCCGTTCGAAATGGCGTGTAAAAGTGGGAAAATGTAAAGTGTGTAATTCTACAATTCAAAAAGTGTTTCTCGAGTATTAAAACCGTCAAGTAATTTTAGAGTGCTTACACCCTGTTTAATATTAAATATTCGTTTGTCGCATCATATTTATTGTTAAATCAAAAGAGTTCAATTTGAAGGTTATACATCAAAAAGCGTTTTTTATTCGATCCGGAAAATGTTCAATAACGAGGCCACAAATCAACGTTTGTTAAAAAATAGTTTGTATAATTCAATAAATGAAACACCAAATGGAATTCCAAGGAATTTTACTTCTCCCAAGATAACATCGACACCTTTTCATCCCATACACAGAAGAAGGGAAACTTTATTTGCCACACCGCCTAAACCACATTTGCTGAGCCCTAAGAAGTAAGTAAACAAAATTAAATTTTTGCCGTCTAATTTTATTCTTATTGGATATGAGGATCCAAAAAATATTTGATTACATTTGGCTTCTGGAACCTCTTAGTTTATTAGTAATAAGCTATATTTCTTATAACTTTTAGGAAGGGACAATGGCCCAAATTTAATATAATATAAAAATTGTTGGTGATTTTTATCTATACAAATAAATTTTAAATTACATGTCCTGTATGATTCATCAATGCCCAAACTTAACTTCTAGAGTTAAAGGGCTGAAATTTTGACAGTGCATTCCTATAAAATATACTTATATTTATAATTTCCTATAATGACATGGATAACTGCTTAAAAGGATTATTGGAAATTTGGAAAAAGGATAAATTGAAACACTTAAAATATTAATTATAATTATTCCTGGTGCATTTGCCTTTTTATTCTTGGAAGGTCTGAATTTTGCTTGACATTACACAAATAAAAATAACTTAAGTAAATGCTTAATAATTCAAAAGGTACTAAATTTTTTTAGTTTTTAATACTTAAATTTTAAGTCTTAAAACAATCCCTCTGCAGCTTGTAATTATAGTTATCATTTATTTAGGTACCTATTTTAACTTTTATTTTTAATAAATTAGTAATTGTAGGCACCTACTTATTAGTATTAATTCAAGGTTATATTGGAATCTTCTATATATTTTTTTTAAACTCCTATATTTTTTAGTTAATTCTCCGATTTAAGATATTTTAATTTCTGGCAACCCTAGATGCAAAAGTGTTTTGTAATGAAAATATGTATTCCATCTTATTAGAATTATTAATTTAAGTAGTAACAAATAACCAATAAGTAGTAACATAATAGAAGTACATGTTATGTGTAAACTAAACAGGTGTGGATTAACTTAAAATAGTCAAACTAGGTACATAATTTTGATACTTATCCATGAACAAAAAAAATAACAAAGTTATTTTTTCCTTAATAAATATGTATATTAGGGTGGCCCAAAAAAAAAGAATATTTTTTTTCTCGTCTCTTGTGAAAATATGTTGGTTTGTCATGTTTTAAAAGCCCTGTCAAAAGATCAGCTCAGTTAAAAAATTTTTATGGGTTGCTCAAGATTTTTAAAAATTTCCAAAATCGTCAAAAATTGGATTTTTTTTTATTTTAATTTTTTTTCTCGTTCCGATATTATTTTTTAATTTGAAAATAATAATGATTCTGAAAATTTCAAATCGATATTTTGATTACTAAAGGTCGCTCAAGATTTTTTTAACTTTCAAAGCAGAGTATTTTGAATGTTTTCGAGCGACCTCTGAATATAAATATCAACAAACTTTTAGCGACCTTTAGACCTTTTGAAATTTACAAAATTTTTATTATTTTCAACCTAAAAAATAATAGTTCTTCAGACTAGAAAAAAAATTAAAATAAAACAAAAATTCAATTTTTGATGATTTAGAAAATTTTTAAAAATCTTGAGCAACCCCTAAAAATCTTTTAATCAAGCTGATATTTTGACAGGGCTCTTACAGCATAATAAACTAACATATTTTTACAAGAGACTAGAAAAAAAATATTCTTTTTTTTGGCCCACCCTAATGTATATGTATATTTAATAATACTGTATATTTAATAATACTCTTATAAAGTTTTGTAGTTCTATCTTTATTGGTATTTACTAAAAATTCGAAACAACATTGTAGACAATAAAAAAGACACAAATAAATTTAAAAATAAAGATGTAAATAAAGTTATTTAAAATAAAGCCTGATTTAGCCTAATAAAGTGTTAAAATAATAGGCTAGTTCACTTGATAAGCGCATATCTAAGATAAAAACAAAACATGATTTTTTTTCGGTTAGGATGCTTTTGCAGGAAACGCATCAAGTGCGATTCAAAGAATTCGTGCAAATGTGCTGTTAAAATTCCTGTTACGGGAAAACACTTTTTAAAAGACCCGCGAGAGGAACGTAAAAAGTATTTTGGCTCTTTCGATCACTTGGTCTCTACTGCGCAAAATAGATAGGAAAAGAAAGTATGAAAAATTCCTTAAAACGTCTACCAATAGTCCAAGTACTTCTTCTTCAGTTGTGCATTGCAACCATTTTTAGATATCAATATAGAGCGTAAACTTAGATGCCTAATAAATTAAAAACTACTGTTCAGATAAAAAATATTATAGTCAAAATAACTCCCCCATATCTTATGGTGTGGCGTTATTGCGCAATATTCGGGACAACCTGTGTATTTTCTTGGTTAACTAATTGAATTACCCAAGCTGACGCTATTTGATACAAGCTTTTGGACAATGTATATCGGTTTTTAGGTTATAGTCATATACCATAATATAATTGTTATGGGTGTGCAAATAGTGTTTGAATTGAATACTGATATTACAGAACATAAGAATTTTTCCAATATTAATGGGTCAAACTAATAAAATAAGCTTTGTCAAACAATTGTTGTAATAATTACTCGAATATTCGATATTTTTCTTTGGCTTTGGACTTTTAGTCCATCTAGCCAGTCACTAAATTGTAAAATTATATAATTTTTACATCACAATAGTACAAACACAAATAAACATCCATACCCCCTGGGATTCGAACCCACAACCTCTCGGCTTATAGTCTGGAGTGCTAACTACTACACCACCGAGTCCAGTTGAATATTAATTTGAATATTCGCACACCCCTATTAAATGTAAACTTTTATATTTTAGGTATGCCTTGTCAGATATTGCAACCCCGCCAAGAAGGGGCCTTAGGGAAACAAGCAGACCCCAAAGCCCCACAGGACCATTGTTGGCGTCAACACGTTACAATGTTAATGTTAGGTTAGTATTTTCCATAATTTTTATAATCTAAATTTTGAGTATGAGTATGAGTATGAGTATGGGAACGTATGGCAAGCCCCAGATATATTGTCATCCACTGATCTCCCGAGGTTATATTACCCCCTTTCCGTTCTCCTGCGTATCCCGCCAAATCACAGCATTACCTGTGTTTGTTGGATCCGAAGTTTTTACGCCGGCTGGTAGATCCACCCTAGGAGTTCGTGGATGACAGTGTCAAAGGTTAAGGCAGCTCCCGGGATTTTTGTCAGCCGGGTCGGGCCATACGTCCAGTTTAGGAAGGGCTTTTGGAGGACATTGAACTGACCCAAAACTAAGTACAATCCGGAATCCTCCTAAACCAGGGCTTTAGTATTCCTGAATGGGGGTGGGTATGTTAGTTTTTTTTGCTTACTCCGGCTACCAACCTTGTATATTCTTTATTTATTTTATTGCTATATTAGTGATCATACCGTTTTCATTAATTTATATCTTTGCCTTCTTACTTATTTTTTTCCAAATTATTTAAAAATAAAAATATTAATATACAAAATAGATAAAGCCGGCCCTGTGGTGTATCGCATCAATATTAGAAACCCGGCCCCTATGTCAGGCGTGCAACGCATGCCTCAATAGATGACCTACCACTTCATTTCACGTGGGGGCTTTGCCCATTTACTTTCTCCATCCTCCAAGCATTGCTTGCGTGAGCTTATGTGTATATTATATAATATATATAATACAATAATATAATATTGCGACGCACCCACTTGATTTCCCTTCACACACGCACGCTGCCCTCTGCAATGATCAATTGTTGCCTGGTTCCTGTTAAATTAGTATCTATATAAATTCAATATAAATTTCAATTAGTCAATACCAATACTAATACCAAATAATACAAATAATCAATACCAATATCAACCAATCAATCAATTAATCAATATTAACGTTAATATCAGTATCAACCAATTAATCAATCAATATTAATACTAATATCAATATCTATAATGCCAATATCAACATCAACACTAATACCAACAATATTACCATCAATACCAATACCAATATTATTATATCAATATCAATCAATCAATTAATTTATTAATTAATTAATTAATCACTTTATGTAAATATCGATCTTCAAAATAGAGCCGGCCCTGTAGTGCATATAGTGGAATGCGGCCTTATTGCCTGCTTGGCTCTTGAGTTCCGTGTATTAGCCTGGCTTGATTTATGAGTGTGACCCTAAATTTATTTATGATAAATTTTTGTCTTCTTGCTTGAATTGGTTTATTTGCTTACGCCTTTTACGCTGGTTGTTTACGTTTGTCTACTATGAGAAAATAGGTTGTTTATTTAACAGTTACGGAAATGTTCTTATTATTTTTTAAATTTAATTTTTAAGACGAATAGATTTCTTAGATTTTTTTGCAACATTGTGAAATGCTTATATAAACATTTAACGATTATACGGTAAGACATGCAATTAGAAGAATTACTTAGCTTGATTATTAGGCTATAAACCTGATGCTTTGTCTTTCGCGGGGTGTCCTTCTCCTGTAGGTTTTTGCATAGAAAAAGGACATTTTTGGAACGCTCCGATCCAGGTGCGCCGGTTGACTTATCGTTGCTGCCCAGCCTCAATTAGGCACTTATTCACTTGCACACTTTTACGGCGTTATCTCACAATTTTCGCACTTCTTGCTTTGTTTATTTATGTATTTATTTATTATTCATTAACGATCACCGACATTTCCGGATACTTTGTTTCGTTTTTGGTATTTTACGTTTGTATCGTATACGCCACTTAGGAGGGATCTTGACGCATCCGACCTCTTCGAACATCAAGACGGTACTATAATTTTTATAATCTAAATTTTTTAATTTATTTTTTTTTGTAGTACTTATATGGATACTAAAAGCCCTGGACTTACAAGTAGAATTGTTCAGTATGAAGAAGAACAAAAAAATCAGCAAAGGTCAATGCCAACACACCAGAAAAAATACAATAGTCCAGGTCTATTTCCTATTGTGCATTTATTTAAAAAAAAGCCCCCGGTTTTGGAACAAAAACCCAAGACAGTCACTGTTAGAATAGCATCACCAGGTAAATTTTCATTAATAATACCTTGTATGTATTATTATATTACAAATCTTTTTGTAGAATACTCAAGACACAATTCTCAAGAATATAACCGAATGTTAATGGAAGGTATTGTTAAACCATCTTCATCCACCAGTGGTTTTTCACCACCAAAAACCAACTCAACCAGCACAAGAAGTGTTTTGGATGCATTAAAAGAGATTTCGAGAAAGCGAATACACGCAAATGAGGTAGAAGGAACATTTTCCGTTTCAGGAAAAAATAATATTAAACCCTATTTTCAGGATTTTGACTTACTTGAGGAATCAGGAAAGAGACAAAAAACAGACTATTTTAATGGTATGGATAATAATAAAAGGTACAGAGATGACACATCAGTGATTGACAGTCCTGTTAGTCCTAGTTCCACCCAAAAATCAAAAAGAGTTTGTGTTTATGATGAGTATGCTGCTTCCATATCTTCTTCAATGTCTATGTTACCCATGAATAAACTTCATGTTACACCAAAAAGAAAATCTATTACAACCAGTAAGAATCTTTATTTTTCCTTATTTTTGTTTAATTTAAATTTTTCCAATTTTTAGGTACTTCACCAGAAAGTCCTATAAAAGAAACAAAACAAGTGAAACTTATTAATGCAGAAACTCAGACTTTAACTACTCAGGAACCAGAAAAACTAATTAACGAGGAACTTCAAAATACCGAAATCGTTACTACGAATGCTGAAGCTAAAACAACGGAACGCGAAATGCCTGTTAAAATATTTGATGACGCTCCATTAGATCGCATCCGAAAAAACCGGTTGGCTGCCTTGATGGGAACGTTGGCGGGCAAAAGTCCCGTTTTGATGCCAAAACCATCAGCTAAAGAGCAATTCACTATGGGACAAATGGCCGACGAAACCGACAATAAGTCAGAAAAACCACTGGTTGGTATACTATCAACTCCCAAAAGATCTTCGCCTGTGAAATCTGATAAACATGTGACGTTTAATTTGTCTGCAAATATTGCATTTTCTGAATCAAGCTCCAGTAGCACTGGGTTTGATTTAAATGGCGGTTCATCAAAAAGTATCACTACAAACGCGAATACCTCTACCCTTGCTAAGACTAATATAAACGAACCCTCAAAATTAATTTTATCTAAAGAAACTACAGTCACCCCAACACCCCCAACTTCACCAGTTATGTTTGAAAAGAAAACAAACGATGTCACTTCAAGTGCCAGTTCTACAAGCCTTTCCCAAACCTTACCAATTTCTTCTACTACTACAATGAATTCAGGCTTGAAGCCCTTAGAAACTTCAAACAGCCTCGCCAAAAGCGCCGCTTTAAATTTTGAAAATAATTCAAGATCAGAGTCTACAACTAACATGAGTATAGCTTCATCCACAAGCACTACCAGCTACATGAGTATGGCTTCATCCGCAAGCACTACCAGCTTAAAATTCGAGACTCCAAGTACATTATCAACTTCACCTAAACCTGGCGGTTTTAAGTTTGATCTAAGCCCCTCAAAATCTAATGCTCCCTTAGTTAGTTCTACTAGCTCGACTCTGCAATTTTCTTTTGGAACTTCAAAACCCTCTGATAATTACAAACCACCAAGTGCTACTGTAGAAAGTAGTACTAATAAAGGCGGATTTTCTTTTGGTAAATCCACCGCTTCTGCTACACCCTCATTTGGCTTATCTACATCGGCGTCTCCCGGTTCCACGCCATCCTTTAATTTTGGTTCTGCAACTCAAAATAGTACCCCAACAACTTCTACTCCTTCATTTAATTTTAAATCTAACACTTCAGCTTCATCAACCTTAGCTACAACAATACCGTCTTTCGGTAATAACTCCAATGCCGAAGCTAAATTATCAGAACCGTCATCGTTTAATTTTAAGTCGCCATCATCCACGCCCCCTTCAGTGAGTAAACCTCCTGCATTTGGCGTTAGTTCTAGTACCGCCCCTACATTTGGAGGTGGAATGCCCAGTTCTAGTACCGCCTCTGCTTTTGGAGGCGGCAGTAACCCCGCACCAACATTCGAGGTAAAGGCGACATCAGTACCTTCACCATTCGGATTAAATACAACTACAACAACGCCATCAATGTTCGGTATGAACACTCCCTCCACTGCACCTAGTTTTGGAGGCAACTCAACAACCCCCAGCGCTTTTGGGGCTTCTAACACTTCAGTATCATCATTTGGTCTCTCAACAGCCACAAGCACAACACCATCCTTTGGGTTAAATACTTCTAAAGCCCCATCATTCGGCGTGTCGAAACCCCTCCCTGCTTTTGGATCCACGACCACGACGACCTCTAGCTCTACATTTGGTGGTTCATCTGCTGAATTTGGGGCTACATCTGCACCATCTTTTGGAGTTTCTACCCCATCATTTGGTACTCCAACAACTAAAACGGCTTCATCTGGGTTTGGCGGTAATAACTTTGTAAGCAAAGCTTTTAATTTCAATTCAACTACACCAACACCTACACCTGGTCCTATGTTTGGACAAAAATCAAATGCGTTTGGGGATGCCAACAACAGTTCTCCGTTTAGTGCAAATGCTGCCCCCAATACTTCTGTAACTACTTCAGCAGCAGTTTTCGGAAAATCCAATAATAATCCAATAAGTACCACCGCAACATCTGTATCAATGTTTGGAAAACCAACCACCGCGTTCGGGGATCAAAATAACAGTTCTCCATTCAATGCAAGTGCAACTTCATCGCCATTTAATGCTACTACTGCAAACACTTCAGCCCCATTGTTTGGAAACACAAACACTAACCCCACATTTGGCGCTGCAACTACAACAGCACCAATCTTTGGTACCACTAATACCCCATCGTTTGGACAAGCCAGTAGTAACATATTTGGTGCCCCGAATGTAACGGCGCCTCCTAGCAAACCTCTATTTGGCGGTACCAGTGGAACTTCAGGATTTAATAGTACTCCATCGGCTAACGCATTTGGATCTCCTAATACATTTGCGGCCAAGACTACAGCCTCCAGTTTTGGCGGTAGCACTTTTGGAGTTACCACAACAGCAAATAGTACGTTTGGTACTGCAACTACCACTTTCGGAAATAGTTCTGGTTCGACCTTTGGAAATGGAAGCACTAGTGGGTTTGGAGGAAATACTAATACAACAGGAGGTTTTGGTACAACAACTAATGGATTTGCTGCTAGTGGTAACGCCACTAGTGGCACAACTGGCTTTGGTGGCAGTACTTCTACATTTGGAGCGGTTACCACTACAGCATCTCCGTCAACTTTTGGTTCACCTGCAGTAAACAGTAATATGTTTGAAGGTGCTTCCAATAATAATTTTAACTCTGGTGGTTTTGGTACAAATAATACTGCATCTGCATTTTCAAAACCCGCATCCACGGCATTTGGTGCCAATAATTCTACACCAAGTTTTGGCGCACAAACTGGATCAACATTTGGAGTTCCAGCTCCGGCTACGACACAAGCCAGCGGCGGAGGTGTATTTAATTTTGGAGCCAGTGCTGCAGCACCAAAACCGGCAGCATCCGGTGTATTTTCCTTTGGGGGAGGCGCAAACCTTGCAGAAGTGCCCAAACCCAGCTTCAACTTTACAGGGGGCTCTGCCGCAGCAAATTCGCCTTCTTTTGGGGCCCCGACGCCCAATTTCGGGGCACCTGCAGTGGCCACTTTTAATGCTCCACCTCAGGCAGGATCATTCAGTATCGGTACTTGGAACACCGGTACGGGCACATCTCAGCGCGCTAAAAGTAAGGCGAAACGAAGGACTTGATTTTTAATTTAACAATCACATATTAACAGTAATTTGTATAACTTTGTTAGCGGTTTTGATGTAAAAAAGTGACATGTTATGGAATTTTATTATACAAAATATACTTAGTGTACTATATATTTTTTTTAGAACTGATGGTTTTAATTATATGTAAGCATGATATTGTTATTTGGAGAGTATTGGATCAGGTATCTTAAACTATTCTAGAATTATTCTTTATGCTTTTAGTGTATATATTTTGTTAATTATTGCTAAGTTACTTGATACTTTCTCCACATCTGTGTATATAAATTAATTATTTAATTAAAATTGTGATATGTAGTTAGGTACATATAATTATCATGCTTGCAGATACATAGTATATTATATTAATAAGATGTATTGTTTATGTAACTTTTTTTTATATTTATGAATATGTATAGTTATCAAACTAAATAAATTTTATTTTATAGATCTACTGTCTGGTATTCTTTTTGGTATGATTGTTTTATTTAAATTAATAAATGCAGTTATTTTCTAAAAATACACTTTTAATTCTTATACCCACCTTAACCAAGCCCTAATTTAAGGATTAGACAATTTACTACTGACATTTTAAATCGCCTAAATAAATAAATTGTCTTTAAACATTAAAATTAATGTAATATTTATGTGGGAGAAATTAAATGTTGGTTACATCATCGTTTTTTGGGGAAAATAAAACAAATTTTTTATGGGATGTGCAATTTTATTGGATGGTTTAAATAATTCAATAAAAAAAGATGATACACTTAAGCTGTGATTAATTAAAATTAATAAATGAATTACTGGAAAATATTACTAAAAAGTAATTAAAAAAAAGTCGACTTAATTATTTACAAACCTATATATTATATAACTAACATCTTAGAATGTGTCTAAATAAACTTACAAAATAACTTTGTACATAATAATTTGACTATACATCAAAATTTACAAATAGCATAAGCTTTAATTTTTTAAACAAATTAACTTTTTATTAACATAATATTTGGGCGTATGTCCAAAATAATAGCCCTATAGTTTATAAATTGAAATTTTCACTTGTACTGATATTTACTTTTAAAAAGTTCCTATCAAAATTAAGAACAGTTTTTTAACTTACACCATTTATAAATAATCCATTCTAATCGTCTAGACCGGGTACTGGTGGCAAACTAACTTCTAGTTTCATCTTTTTAGATGGCGGGGATACATTAGGAGCACTGGGAGGATTTTTACTAGTTTCGCCCAACATCTCGTTGGCCTTTCTTATCAATTCTTCTTCTGAAAGCGCGCTTAGGACACTACCGCCATCTCTTAATGGGGAGTTTACTGAGACAGGCTTAATCTTGGGCTTGGTGGGCAACACTAATGGGATCGTGTCACTGGTCAAGTCTATCGTGACGGTTTTCGGCGGCGTTTGGACACGTTTTGTGTAAATTTTTGGAATCATCAACGGAATTGTCAAGTCTGATGGTGATTCTGTAACTACTGGAGCCTCAGAAACCTAAAAAAATAGAATAAGGTAACAATGATTCATGGTACATTTCTTGTTACTTACCGTCGTTTCGGAAACATCGGCTGGTGTGGCAGCTTCAATATTCTTTATGCTGTCCAAAATTTGCTGCAAATTACTGGGCAACGCTATATTTGCCAACGAAGAGGTTCCCAGGTCGGACGCAGTGGCAGTGATATTTTGCGAAATGCTATTGATTTCGGATTTTTGCATCTCGATCTTCTTGTTAAGTTCTTCCATTTGCCGCTGGATGTCGCTAGGATCCGCTGCTGGACTGGGCGAACCAAGACCTGGCAACGTCGAAGTGTATTTGGTCGACAGCAAGGGTGACGTGCTTTTGACGTCTGATAGGCCAGGAATGGCGGGAAGCGAAACGTCTACGTCTATAGGTACTGCGGTGTCCGGGTCCGAGTCTCCTGGGCTGTACGGCTCATCTGAAATATTTAAATTACATACATTTTGGGCGTCACTTATAAATTAAAGGGATATACAAAAACAGGATTAAAAAAAATATTTTAAAGAAAAAGTACGGTAAAAAACACAACAGTCAAGTTAAGTTTTAAGGCAGATGCGCAAAGAAACGAATAAGCAGCTTGAAGTTTTAGAAATAAACTCTAACAACTTTCTCAAATTGACCTTAAAAGGGCAAAGTTTGATCATAGTTTATCCCTACACTTAGTTACTTATAGTTTTAATAGATTAATATTATATTATTATATAAAAGATAATGCAGGCTATTATTTACGAGGATGAGGTTTGCGTGTCGAGTCGCCAGACGGGAGACTCAAATCATATGATTAAATAATCTGCATAATGTACTCCAATAAGTAGATAATTCAATGACTTTAAATAATAAATAAAAAAATCTGTATACATAACAGAAAACCCAATATTATGCAATAGGAGTAGATAATACATTAAAAAACTTAAGACACTATAGTATATTATGTATCAAAACAAGTGTCTGGAGAAGTTCATAAAACGAGTTGCATACTATACCTACTTTATCTACAACGAACACAAAAAAGAATTTAAATCCAATTTTAATTGTTAAATATTTGACATCTGACGAATTTAACCTCATTTTGTCAACTGTTAAAATCCGATATAGAAGCAGTGTTTTACAGTAATAGTGAAGAGGATGTGTGATAGGTACTCCACAAAATTGTTTATAATTTATCGGCAAACGTGCATATAAACCTTTCAAAAATTGGCGTGTATTGAGGTAATAAAATATTAAATAATAAATTAATTTTAACGTTTTCTATAATTTTACTAGAAGGAACCTTATTATGACGATTGTATGACAATTGACAACTGTCAACTAACTTCAGCCCGTGACTAAAAACCTGTTGCTAACTTTAGCACTAAAACTAAAACGCCATAAAGCTACAGCTTGTACAGGGTGATCCCCTATAATGTCGCCCCCCTTTAACTTTTTTATTTTAAGTGTCCCAAAAAATTTAAAAGTGTGGTTATGTAGGAACTAAAAAATACTTTTTTTCTACGTATAAAGAAAATTGGAAAATTGATCAGTATACAGGGAAAAACAAAAAGTTTATTTTTTTTCAATGGATCACCCTATATTTGAATTTATTTTTCGATTCCTTGTAAAATTCTGAGCATAATTTATGTACAAACCATATACCTAAATTCAACCGTTTCTGAAATATTCGCATTCGAAATGTCATTATTAAATGTTTTTTTAAACTGTTAGAAATCAAGAAGCCTCAGTATACCAAAATTTTTATTGAAAATAAATTACTATAGTGACATTATGTCAATAAGTGTTGTTAAATAAGTAAAAATGGCGTACTCAGACAGAGAAAGACAAACTATTTCAACTTATTATCTTAAAAATAATTTAAATATTTCAGAAACGGTTGAATTTAGGTATATGGTATGATATATGAAATATGCTTAGAATTTTACAAGGAATCGAAAAATAAATTCATATATAGGGTGATCCATTGAAACAAAATTAACTTTTTGTTTTTCCCTGTATACTGATCAATTTTCCAATTTTCTTTATACGTAAAAAAAAGTATTTTTTAGTTCCTACATAACCACACTTTTAATTTTTTTGGGACACTTAAAATAAAAAAGTTAAAAAGGGGCGACATTATAGGGGATCACCCTGTACATGTGTTTTTAAAAGAGTGTTGTGGAAAGATGTACAATAATGGGTTTTTAAAGGTGGAAGAAGAAAAAATAAATTAATATGTTTGTAGTATAGAATTTAAGAAACATTGATTTTCGACCATTACAAAGCATCAAGGCCGTAGCTAGAAAAAAAAAATCGGGAGGGATCGGTTAATAAAAAACCGGTTGCAACACAATAGATTAGGTTCTGTTTAAAAATTGTTCATAAATTTAATCTTCTAAAAATTTTGGGGGATTAAACACCTTCATCCCCCCCATTGACTACGGCCTTGCAAAGCATATTTGTAAAAAAACAACCTAATATATATATATATATATATATATATCTTGCAACAAAGAAGTCCTAAAAGGAATGACCCTTGCAACTGTGGAAGGGGTGTTTAAATCTCCCCCATATACATGAGCTAAATAGAATTGTATATTCAAATTATTTATTTATTATATTATTTTTCATTTTACAAAGAATTACCTTTAAAACGGGCACACACTTTTAAATGCCACGCAGTCTTACTTCGAGTAATTTTAAATTTAAAAACGAAATTTGGCGCGGAACTCTGTATATAATTTAACAATTTTTCTGAAAAAATTGTCGGAAAACTAAATTTGAATTGTTATTTTTTCAATACTTCACTATGTTAAAAAAACGCTTCAAACTTTCAAAATGGTGCCATATTTTTAATTAAGATGACCTCAGATGAATCGGACCGACCCTGATCGATGTTTTTGCCTTTTTAGCATTTTATCATTTTATTTAAAAAATATCAAAAATCAGAAATTAAGTGCATTCGAACTGCGCCGTTTTTATGCTTTAGGTTTCGTCCACAATAATCACACAGCATTCCCTAATCCCAAAAACTTTTGTAGTTTTTCTCAATTACACTGCCTTACAGAGCTGGTATATTTTTTTCGTGTTCAGGATACACAAAAATTCGAAAAAAAGGGCAGGTCAGCCGAAGATATTTTTTGCGTTACAGCTAATTTTCTGTTTTTTTATGAAATTGAAAAAATCGTTTGGTTTTGTTATCATTCCAACTAAATTGTCAACACCAATACACGAGATAAGTGGTAGGTTATTTTACTAGGGTTATACCCTCTAAAATAAATAATGTTTTATCTTGGAATTAGGACGACACACCTAAGGACAAAAAAATAATCTTGATCATCACTTACCGTCTTCATTAGGCGTTGCCGTTAAAACAGGAAGCGGTAACTTGTTCAGTCTTGGGTCTTTTACGGGAGGCGGCGTGTAGCTTCTGGAAGGTGCCGCCGCCGCCGCTGAAGTTTTTGCCATAAGGGGCGGTGGCGTCGAAGATGTCGCCGGCACTGGAAGCGGTGGAGTCTCGACGCGACTACGTTTGATTATCGACAGCGGGTTTGACGTGGGATCCATGTACGGACGTTTCCGCTTGTCTCTGACGATGATGCCCAGCAGAAGGGCCGGGCGAGACTCTTCGAAACCTTATGAAATCAAAAACAAGATAACCTCATTATTAACTATTAAAATTTTCGAGTTGTAGTAGTTCGATTTGCGCCATTTTGTGTCAGAAAAGGTTACGCGTTTTGTTACCTCCAGCGATTATAAATATGTTGAAAAAATTAATTACATTAAATTTTGCTATAACGTACCCAGAGAACCGAGGTTTGGGAAAGAAATTAGTCAAATTTTTACAAACTAAGTTTGGTGAACGATATTTTACATTTATTGGGGTTTATTTGGACATATAAAGGGTGGGCCATGTTTATGTTGAATTATAAAATAGCAATGAGAACAAGAAAAACTTATTTTTTTTCAACGAATTTTGCTTTATTTGATACAATGTTTCTTCCGATTCAGTATGGAAAATGATTTTATTTAAGTGGCCACCTCAGCTGGCTCGGCAGTAGCCCATCCTGGAACACCAATTTTCGAGCACTTTGTCAAAAGTTTGCTGCTCTATTTAGGAAATTTGAGCTTGAATGTTTTGTTTTAAATGGTGAATAGGCTTTGTTACGGCGACGTGTGGATTTTCCGTGGCCCAAATCCTACAGTTTTGCTTGTTGACATAACCTCCGAGGTAAAAATGCGCCTTATCCGAAAAGATGATTTTTCTTGCAAAATTAGGGTCATCGTTCAACTGATTTAAAGCCCACTTAGCAAAGCGAAAACGTTGTGGATGGTCAACTTGCTTTAACTCCTGAACAAGCTGGACTTTGTACGCAAACATACCGAAGTCTTTGTGCAGAATCATCCTCAGAGTGGTACGGGAAAGGCCGTGTTGTTGACATCTGCGCCGAGTTGATGTTGACGCGTTCATGCGTACATTTTCGGCCACAGCAGCGATTGCTTCAGGTGTACGTCTAGGACGAGCATGCGAAACATGTTTTATGTCCACCAGCATTCCATTTCTGCGCAATTTTTTTATCAAATTTGTAATACTTTGGTTTGACGGCGCCTCATTTCTTCCAAACGCAATTTTCTTGCCGTCTCTGCGATCACAGTCACATTCAAAGTAAGTTTTGAGTATTTCGAAACGTTGATCCAAATTTATTCGGTGCATATTTTGTAATAGGAAGGTTAAAACTAAATCACTGTCAACAATTCATGGCGCTTAAGTTGAAAGCTTCATTAATAGCACGTAGTTTAAAATTCAACTTATAGATGGCCCACCCTTTACATTGTATTTTCATCAAGTTTTACCAAAAATTTACATACTTTATGCCAATCATTTCCAAACGCGATAGCACAAAAACTGCTTGAAAATAAAGAGTTTTATACGTTGCTTCGCGTCGTAAAAAGTAAATCAATATTTAAGACCTTTTTCTCTACAAAAATACGTCAAAAATTATAATCATCCGTCCACTAACTAAACAGCTTTAAAGTTTGAGTAAGTAATATAAATTTACATTGGTAGTTCTATATTATGTACTTATTTTTTGTTCATTGTTATAGATTTTAATCTCATTGTATGAAGTTGGAGTGGAGAAAAAGAACCGTCTTTTTCTGGGTAAATAGTGTTTATGCTTACAAGGCATACTACAAGCAGGATAATTTAGAGAAAAGAGAGAATAACGTTTGGTTTAAAGATCTATTGTGCCTGAAGTAATCAAGGCAATAATTATTGTGATTTTTGCATTGAATTTTAATATTGATTTCTTTTTTTTATTTTAGAAGTTCTTCATAACATGTAAAGTTACCAATCACAAACAATTTTACAATAAGTTCTTAATTTTTAATAAAACATAATTGTTAATAGCCTTATTGTAATTCTATTTGTCTAAAGATCCATATCTACTAGACATGGCCCCATATGATTTTCTTGTTCCAAAAAAGAGAAACTTTAAGGACTGTGGTTTCCCAAAAGCTAGAAAGATTGAGTAACACAAGTGTTCCAGGTATTGGAAGAAGCGCTAGCAGAAGTGTTTAAAATCTTATAGAGATTATTTTTAAGGGGATTACATTGATTTGGCGAGAAAATAATATGTTTCCGAAAAAACGGAAATTTATTTATCAGTTTTTTAAATTAAAAAATAACTAAATTTCAGTTAAAAAAAAATTGTCTTACCTGGACCATTTAAAGGAAGTAGTGCTTGTGGAATGGGTTTTTGCGGCGCCAACGGTAAAATGTAAAAGTCTTTAACAGCTTTGTTTGTACTTTTTACCACGCCCAGGCGCGTTCTGCTACTGAGATAGCTGTACAACGCCAAATATGGCATTTTTTCTTCCATATTGGTAGCATTTAGTCTCACCATGGATATAACTTTGCTATTGGAGCACTTCATTTTGCTTATGTAGTCCCAAACCGTGTCCGGCGAGATTCTACCCACAATTTCGAGATTTGAGTTGAGTTCTTTGCCTAAACCTTGACAATCACCTAAAAAATGTTATTTATTGTATGAGTTATAGATTCTGTGGTAAAATAAAAAGACGTGGAATGAGATAATCGCCCCAGCGACTAAGGCTGTTAAGCAAGATTCCTCCACTTTTCAGTTATAATCTGTGTGTTTTCACTTGATTAATGGGTGACCCGTAGGGATGAAAAACCGTGTTGTTTCAGATTTGGAAAAAAGTCCTCAAGGGAAATGTCTACTCTATGAAATTAGTTGACAAAATACTAGAAAGCCCGATGAATTTAATGTAAATTTCTTAATCCCGGGATCCCGAAAAAACATTAATTTTAAATAAAGGAACAAACAAACTAACGGACGATATCTTTCGGACTTTACACTAGTTGCGAGGAATGGTTTTCAAGAATTCGTAGGCACATTGTACCCACGTTTAACCCCATTAACAAATAATTCCATTTCTTTTATCAATCAGGCCTTGGTGAGTTCCAATTGGGGCTGTATCTTACATTGAAATTATCAAGTTTGTAAAAATGTTTCAGTTTTCACGTTTAAAATTTTATATTATAGGTTATGTACATAAATTTATTCTACAGTGACCTGTAATTTTACATTTTCTTTGCTGATTTTATACTAAACGCGATCGAGAATGCGATAGATGGAATCACTCTAGCTAAGTAATTTCAATATATTTTTATTATTTATAAGTGTTTATATATAAATGCTTATGAGTATTATAATATGAAAATTGTCATACCCTTGAAAAAGTATATTTTATTCTTTGTATTTTAAATAATTATTACTAAGATCCCGGGATTTTCGGGATCGGATTTTTACGGGATCCCGGGATTGACACCCCTAATGTGCACATATTATATTTCTCATATTATTTCTAAAATAATTTCTCATTTTATCTATATTTTACCGCAAAAAATAAATTGCACAGAAAGGGCAAACAATACGCTTTATTGGATTGATAAAAGAAAGTAAGTTAAAAAACGTAAAACGTAAACAAATTTAAAAAAATGGTGAAATCTGAAAAACAACTCTAAAAGATGCCAATGACACGGATACAGAGCCCAAAGTTGTAGTAGTGCACAAAGCACTCTAAACTTTGAGCTTTGACTAATTTTTAAGATAAATTTTGTCACAGTTTCAATTGATCGGACAGAGCTTTTTTAACACAGTCAATAAAATCCCAAAACCCGATTTTTTTGTCGTTGGGGCGATTTTCTCATAAAAAAAATTCATAATAATCATACCTGACACTTCGTGAGCTGTTATAGATATCTGCGCGACATCAATCATACTAATGGTACCCCCGCCAAATTTCTGCTGGCGGCTTCTTGGGAGGAGGTGACATGCTGCGTTCTTCAACCGCTGGTTTTTCTTTTTCTGGTTTTTCCGTTGAAGATTTCTCATCGTCTTGTTCGCTGCTTCTTGGCGGCGTAGGAATAGTCACCGTGGAGGTCGGTTCATGATCGCTATCGCTTTCTGCTGCAGGAACGATATCCTCCTGTGGCACGTGTCTCCATAACCTGTCCTCCAACGGTGGTACAATTTTATTGACAACCAATTTATCCAGAATTTCCTTCGATTTCGGATCCAATTTGGAAGTCTCTATGGGTCCTCCTTCAATCTTGTGTTTTGAACTCTTGTGAGATTTTCTGTGCTTGTCGCGGTCTCTATCGCGACTCCTGGACTTTTTCTTGTCCTTTCTGTCGCGACTTTTGCTACGTTTTCTGCTTCTATCTCTACTCGACGATCGTTTTTTATGATGGTCTCGCAATTTCTTCTCCCGTTCTCTCTCCTTATCTTTGTGGCTGTGCTTCGCAGACTTTTTGTCGGTATCCTTGTCTTTCTCTTGTTTAGCTTCTCCGGCGCTCAACGTCGAACCTTCCGTTAGACTTTTTATAGCTTCAATGTTATCGACTTTGTCGGTACGTCTATCGTCTTCTAAGACCTGCTCGCCCTTGTGTGTTTTTAACACATATTGTCTATTGCAATTTAATAATTCCAGTTCGGATTTTTTTATCATGTCCAGTTGATGTTTAGCTTCCCTTTCACGCCACATTGCCAGTTCCTGACTGGCCAAGTCGTCAGGAGATAGGCGAACAAGTTCATATGGATTGATGGATTTCTCACAAATCCTTCTCCACAAAGTTTGATTCTTAACATCTTTGATGTTGAAAATCAAACTTCTGTATTTATTTCTGTATTTCTGACCGGTATCACCAAAACACCTGTAGAGTTGAGACTCGATCTCTGTTGAAATGGACTTCACTTCATCTTCACTGAGTTTAATATCCTCCACATCTTTTAACCTGTTGGTGAGTTGCTCAAACAAAGTTTTCTGCACATTCTCTCTTATATTCTCCTGTTTTTTGGCCTGCGGAGCTTGTACTTCTTGCTGCCTAGCTTTCGGAGTTTTAACTGGAACAGGTTGTTTTGCAGCTTGCGGCGTTTTGGCATTTGTTTTAATTGTTGTTTGAATGACTTTAACTTTGGGCGTTGTTGGAGTGGTCGTTACGCTTTGAACGTTGGCGTTCGTTGGCTTAGATATCGGTGAGATTAACTTTGTTGTTTTTATGGCAGGCGAAGTGGATGACACTTGTTTGCTGACAATTTTAAAATGACTCACTTTTGTGGGTGTTTTCACGTTGACAATTTGTTTGGGCGCGTGTTTCAGGACTCCCACTACTCCCGCTTTGTTTTGTATTGCCAATGAAACACCCTCTGTATCAGTGTTTTTAACAAGTTTTAGTTTGGATTGTGTCATATTACCGCTCTGTGAAATAAATAAATAATAAGTGAAAATTTATTTTTGATAACCTAATGACTTACCTTTGCAGTAACAACTTTTCCACCTGATTTAACAGCTTCAAATGTAGGATGTTCTTTAAGCCATTGCTCCAGATTAGCAGCACTGGGTGCCTTATTGCCTGTCAACATATTTCCTGTAGCTCTGTCAAACACAACAGCCTATAATAAAAAAAGAATGATGTGAAAATATACTAATAACTGATCTGATTTTTGGCAAAATAATTATCATCAATTTTGATAAGTCGTTAAAAACCCATCAACACAATAATTGACCTCACTATATAGCCGCCATAAAACAATATGTAGCTGACGCAATCAGCTGCATTTTGGCGAATGAAAAACCGCTAATTGTTCGGTTATAGATTAAATTTACGAAATGTAGGGGCATCATTCCCTACATTTTGCTCAACCTCAAATTTTGCCCTGTTTTCTTTCCCTATTTAATTGATATTTTAAAATTGGTTTAAAATTATTGTTAAGACTGTAAAACGATTAAAATGTAGTTATAGTTTTAATCACTTGGTAACAATTTGACTTAATTTTATAAAAAAGACAGTGTGTTTAAAAAATAATAATTGTGGTTGTTTCTGGCAGCTTCTCTTTAAATAGAATAATAATAATTATTGGAGAACTGTACTGTAATAATCAATTTCTAAGCCATAAACATGATCCTCTTTTGTCATCTAATTCCAACAGATTTCCCATAACTATTTCAAAAATTCGTTTTTAAACTTGAAATCTCATGAGCGTGCTCACTCTGTAACAATTTATTCAAATATAAAAATCTCTGCTTACGCGGTCAAGCATAAGCTTGGTTATGTTTTTTATATGTCAGTTGATCACGTGATTGATCGGACGCTTTATTTTCATGTATCCGTTTGTCCGTTAGTCCGATCATCCGGGAGCGCTGGTATTGGTTTAATTATAATTCGAAAATTATGACATTTTATCGGTCCGTCAAGTTTCAACTTCGTACGGCTGACGGAAAAAGTTAAAATAATTGTGTTCTACTGTTATGTTAATAAGAATAACGGAAAAAAGAAGACACACAAAAAATGTTAAAACCAGAACTAAAAGGACTTTCTTAAAACTATACATTTTAATGTATATCAAGGCTAGTATATTCTTTTTATATGGTATATTTACCTACCTTTAAATTTATTAGACAGCTAACCATAGATAATAAATCATATAGATACGCCACTGTCACATATTTGACGCTCCTTGTTACGCACACTCGGCCCGCTATGCCGCTAGTGTACCCGCCTGACATTTATTGGTTTTAGGTTATGGTTTTAATTTAGGTTATCCTGTCAAATTTTGACAGTCAAAATAGTAAAAAATAAAAGGCCTGATAGTTTATTTAAATTGTTTATTTGAAAAGCAAAAATAAATGTATTATATTTTAAATTATTCAAGGTATTTAAACTAAACCAATTTACAATATAATAATGTATTCAAGTGAATTTTATCTTATTAAAGAACACAAATCAGTATAAAGTAATAATATTATGTACCACATTTGTGTAAGTACCTTGTTTTAATAAAATAGTTATAATTGAATAATACAATACAACCTTGTCATCATTGTGAAAAGTATGCATCATAACTTGACTGTTAGAGCAGCCCACAGCACAGCACAACACCATGTTAATGTTCAAATAATGTAGCAATATATAAAAAATAGAGTACACAGATAACGATAAATCGCAATTATAAAAGTTTTTAAGCGTACAGAACAAACCAAATAAACACACTATGAATTTACAAAACTTTACAAAATTTATCAAACTGAAGTTTGTTGATTTCGTTACCAAGCAACCGTCAAGATTAACCGCCGCTCCTGCCACATGCAACTCGAGTGTAAACTAAAACCAAAGTCGACCAGACAAAAATGTGGATTTTGTTTGTTTAAGGCGAGTGCACAGGGCATGGAGCCTACACAAGGAGCCCGAACTTAATAGGGAAAATTGACAAAATCTGTCCACTAAATTGCACAATTTAAGTCTTTTTTTTTCACCACCAGCGGCGCTGCTTGTTGATGCGTCCGAATGACGTGAATATAGTATCGAAAATACACTTAGAAAATACATGACATGTGTCATGTGTCTATGTTGTGAAGTAAGCAAGTAAGTTTTGACAATTGATTTGCAATAATTTTTTGATGTACGAATCGTTTTGTTTTTTATGGCTGTACGTTAGCAATAGGCCGAGAAGCGATACATAAGATGGAATCTACCTCACCTTTTAAATAAATGTTGTACCCCAACTCAAGCGAGATATATCTAAAATGTGCTTAAACTGTTGAGTGATCGCTAAAACTGTACAAAAAATGTGCTATAAAAAGGTGTAATATAAGCGTCATAAATGAAAAATATTAAAGTGTGCCAACAGTGTGTATAAAATGTGACATACGTAAGATAGACTGAAGCTTTGCAAAATGTCTTTAAACAATGTACTAAAACTGTGCAAACAATGTGCTAAAATATAATGTAATATAAGCGTGACATATGACAAATAAATAAGAGTAAAAAACTTAATTATTCCAAAAAGTGTGAAATTACCACAAAGTAGCGTGTATGCACATTGTTATAAAGACTTGCACTCCAAATAAACACTTATTGCACACTTTTCATGCACGCTTTATTTTCGCCAGGGTAATTATTCCATCCATTTCTGGACCTAAAAATGTTTGGATGTTAACAACCTCCAATGGTGTCAGCACTGTCAGTGCTGCAAGCCGAGAGCATAGATGACCGAGAGGTCATGGGTTTGATATATTTTAAATATTTTATAGTATTTGCAAAACTTTTGTTAAACTTAAATAAAAAAGTATGTAGAAAATGAGTAAACAGCATATTTAATAATTTCTACCTTTATTTGTTTATATTGAACTTTTATTTAAGCCATCTACCTATAAAACTAAAAATAAATACCATATGGATTTAATATTCTGTTCGTTTTACAGGATTTAACATCACACGACATTCTATTATAGAAAAAAACACGTATTTATAAAAAAAACTGTACTATGCTCTACATCAGAAAGTCCAACATGAATTCCAATGTTAAATTTGATATTAATTTATTGTAAATTAAGACCTTTATACACAAAACCACTGGTTTTAAACCAGGTACATGGGTACATTGTTTTCAGAAAGTGATAAACTGACAGTTGCATAACCTCAATTATTTGCACAATAATAAGTGGTAGGTAGTGGCGCCATCTCTGGTTACACCCCTCTACTGTTTTGGACCGGTAGTACACCAGCGCCCTCTTATCTAAGGAAGATTCTTGTTTACATGAAGTTCGGGCTCCTTGTGTAGGCTCCATGGCACAGGGCATGCAGCTAACTGTTAAAGTTACAATTGTTGACATAATTGTAACTATGGCAATTAAGCATTAGGTAAATTTAGTAAAGTGAATATACTGGTCCTTAATTTCTATTTGACGCCAAATCAATCCGTTAAACGGCATTAAAAAACGGATGCATGAAAATTAGAACATTTCTTGTCGGACGATTTTATTGAAAAACGGACAAACGGATACATGAAAATTAAGCTTAAAAACTAGCTTCCTGCGTCAACATGAAATGGAAACTTTAGAGACCGGATTCTTGGTAAAATGCCGAATGTCAATTTTACTAGACTGCATAGGTTTCTCTATGATAGGCTGTGAATATTTTTAGGTGGAAAATTAGTTTAACTTGATTTGTAGTAGTTTTGATTAGTTAGTTAAAACATCTTTTATTAAATTTTAACAAAAACATGTTCAATTTCGAGTTTTTTAAGGTTTGGCATGATATTAGTCGCTATGGTGAAAAATTTCTAGATTGTAGTCAGGGCTGGATGCTCCAGTGTACTAGTTTTCTTTCGTGCCGCGCTTTACGTTACACGATTATCAACTAATTAACGATTAAATTTGATCTTCATCGAAAAATCATTACAACTTTTAAAATTTTAATAAATCACATTTCAATGACATGATGTCATACGCTGAAGAAGTATAGGGTTTTCGCAACGCGCATTGTGTGAATTTAAGAACTGTCAACAATACAATTAAAGCATACGAACTGCACATCATTTTTAAATAAATAGGTAGTTTTTTCACAAAAGAGGGGAAGGCAGAAGTCTTATTCGACAAATTTTGTTCAATTGCACAACTAAATCGCGTACGTTATTTGTGTTTTACGTTGCAAGGAAAAAATTAAAAAAACTTTTTTAGTACTCGATTTCGATTGAATATTCCTTATATCATATTTATATTTACCAAGTATATTTATCAATCTAATAAATATACTTGGTCCAGATCTTTAAAGGCTTTAGACACTGTTAAAGCTATTGAAGCTTGTATCATTGGCATTTCTAAAATTGATACATTATTGTGGTATCCTACTACCTATCATATTGATTTAAGAGCCAAACTTTTAAATAATCTTTTGGAAGATATTGGAACCAAATTTTTAATGAAACGTAAAATATTTTTAAATAAGCCTTTATGGTGGAATGATGAATTAGATAGATCCAGAATTAATTTAAACCAATCCAGAAGAGCCTATCAAAAGGCTCCTTCATATTTGAAAGATGGCCTTAAGTTAATTTATAAATCTGCTGCTAATAAATTTAAAAATATTGTTGATAAAACTCGCTCTTCTTCATGGAGCCAATTTGTTATATCTGAACTAGAATGTAACCCTTGGAGTCTTCCTTATAAACTAGCTAGAAATCGTTGTAATAATAAACATATTCCTACTAGTATTCCATATAAAGGTAAATTTTCTACTACCTTGGGTGAATCCTCTGAGGCTATTTTGGATAATTTTGTTATTTCAGATGATCACTCAAAAGACTCTTTCTATCATAAATTTTTTAGAGAATCAACTAATTTATTAACTGGAACCATTCCTGTCACTGATCCATATTGTGTGTCTGAAGATGAAGTTTTAGTTTTGTTAAACGATCTTTCTATCAAAAAAGCTCCAGGTCCAGATAATGTTTTTCCTACTGTCATAAAGACCGTTGCTCCAATTATTGTCAATCTACTTACTAGAATCTTTAATGATTGTATTAGATTTAGTCATTTTCCAGATGTTTGGAAACATGGTAAATTAATTCTTATCCCAAAATCTAATATTTCCTCTAATAATTCACTAAAAAATCTGAGACCTATTACTCTTTTACCAATTTTAGGCAAAGTTCTTGAACGAATTATTAAAAAAATTCTTTTTAATGAAATTCCTGAACAAAATTTCCATGATAAAAATCAATATGGATTTAGAGAAGGTAGATCTACTACCAATGCTATTTTGGATGTTACTAATTTTATCAAAACAAATAATTCAAAATTTTTAATAACTTGTTTTTTAGATATTAAAGGAGCATTTGATAATGTTTGGTGGCCTACCATTATTCACTCTCTTATTAATAAGGGTTTATCCTGTGACTCTGTTAATTTTATTAAAAGTTATCTTAAAAATAGAACTACTTCTTTATCTTTGAGTGATTCTAATGAATCTTTTAGATATAAAACTTTATCTAGAGGTTGCCCTCAAGGATCTGTACTGGGTCCTCTTCTTTGGAATACTGCTCTTGACTCTTTATTGAAGATCAAATTTGGTAATAATATTAAAATTTTTGCTTATGCTGATGACATTGCGGTCATTTCTTTTGCTGATAATAGAGGTGATTTAGAAAAGTTTACTAATTCTGCTCTTAATAGTATTAATAGCTGGGCTGATGATAATAAGTTATCTTTTTCGATTGATAAATGCAATTACGTTATGTTTGCTGGTAAAAGAGTAAGACGTCCTTCTATTAAACTAAATAATATTCCCTTAAGAGGTTTACAATCGGTTAAATATCTTGGTGTAATCTTAGATCAAAAACTGAATTATCAAGAACATATAAAGACAGTTTGTTTAAAAGCTAAAGGACTTTTCTCAACTTTAAGAAGACATTTATCCCGCATATGGGCTCCCCCTTGGCAAGCCCTTCAGACTATTTATTCTATGGCTGTTGTTCCTATTACTGGTTATGCTTTCGAAGTTTGGAAAAATCATATTCATTATAGAAGATCTGAAAGATATTTGAACTCTTGTAGAGCTCTATGTGCTAGAACTATTAGTGGTTGTTATAAGGATGTATCCTATGAAGCTGCCAGCGTTATAGCTAATATTATGCCAATTGATATTGAAATTTCCAAAAGACATGCCCTTTCCAATATCAAAAGATGCAAACCTGCCGAACATCTGGGAACATTTTGGACTGATAACTTTCCAAAAATTTCAATAGCTAAAGAACTATTGCAGAATTTGAGTTTAAATAAATGGCAAATTTTATGGGATTCATACCCTAATGGTAGACTTACTTACCAATTTATCCCTTCTGTAATTGAAAGACAATATATGAACATAACCCATAATAAAGCTTTATCATCAATTTTATCTGGTCATGGAAGATATAGAAGACATTTTCATAAAGTCGGAAGATTGGAGAACCCTTTTTGCCCCCATTGTCATTCCACTGATGATTCTTTACATAGAATTTCTGCTTGTCCATTATATGATGAACCTCGTCAAATTTTGATTGATTGTACCCCTTATTGGCCTATTTCACCTTCTAATCTTTTAAAATTTTTGATTGATAACAACAAAACAGACTTATTGACACCATTTTCCATTTGCGAAGATTTACCTTTTCATTAATTACTCTTTAACTATACATTTATTGTAAAACTGATTGCATTTGCCTTTCTGGAGAGTGATTTCTTTTCTTTATACAGTAATATTATTATTACTATTTCTTTATAAATAATATAATTTTTTGAAAATACTTTTACATTCATCTATAATCTGAGATTATATTATTAATAGATGAATTTCTGATTTATTAAAATCAACTTTATTTTTAGATTATTTTATATTAAATTTTTTTGTAATATCTTGATAAAGCAAAAATGTTAATTAAATCTAATTTTTATTTTTTTTTCTTAAATTCTTACAAGGGTTGTAGGTACCTTGTAACACATATGTGTATCTTTTTGAGTAGAGTTTCTCATTTGTTTTGATAATTTATTATTATTGAATCACCATATACTGATGTCATTTTTGCTTTCTTCAATTTAATTTTTAATTCAAAATGTATACAATTCTCCTTCTATATATGTTAAATAACTAAAATTTTATAATTATGTACACTCTTAAATAAATAAAAAATTGAAAAAGAGAGTGGTTTGGCACTGGGTATGTGGGTGGGGCCTCCTCTCTCTTTTTTTTTTTTTTTTTTTTTTTTTTTTTTTTTATTCCTTATATCATTGATTAAGAAACTCAACGATTAGGTATATGTTAATATAGTTACGTTAGTTTGTGTATTTTATCTAAGTGATCGTGGTTGTGTTTTTAATTGTAAATAAAATTCATGAACTAAATCGTTGCATTTTCATGTTTTGCCAAAGGATCCAATTTGGTAAGTACATTTGTTGGTGCAGAATTAACTAATGATAACTTTACCTAATTATTATTAGGTCCTAATATAATTTATATTTAAGTTTTGACATTTTTAAGAAATTAGTAAAAAATAATGTTTGCACAAACATAACCTTAAAACCAATCATTTTTATATTTGAGTTCTCTAAAAAACGCTGACAACTGCATTTTAAACAACAAAATGTACCTACGAATTCATGGCAACATAGAGGAGACTTCAGAGAATTCTTGATCAACGCTTTTAATAATGCTAAATGCTGTTTAAATTTAGACGACTTATTTGTTTGACGATTTTTACTGAATTGAAATGTTTACACTTTTAACGTTAATCACTACTAAAATGTTTAATTATTGTATCTAAAGGTAAAATTTATATTTACAGAGGCTGTATGCAATTTATTTCTTCATTCAGATTAACACTGTTTATTGGAAAACCGGTAAAAACTCAACCCAGGATTTCCTCTCGAAATACACCCAACAACATAACAAATCGATCCACGGTTTTTTTTGATATTTTTTAACATTTTCCGACTTTATTCTCAAAAACACTCGTTGGTAACCTAAGCGTTTTATAGCTGATTATTAAAAGTTCTACAATGGTGGTGTTACTAGCGATACCCTATTGAAAATGCCATATAGAACCCATATTGAATCCGATAAGGAAACGTATCTGGTTCTATATGGTTTTATAGGTCCTATATGGAAAGTCCTGGTTAACATTACGGATTCTATATGGTTGAATATGGATTTCCATTTAAAAAAATTTCATATTCAACAATATAGGGAAACCTATCTGGAAATACATATAGAACAGAAACCAGATAAATCCATATATATGGATTTATCTGGCTTCTGTTCTATATGTATTTCCAGATAGGTTTCCCTATCTGGTTCTATAGTGTTTTAGAGTGTTTTTATCTGGTTTTATAATGTAATCTTCTATCTGGTTCTATAGTGAAATGCCTGTTTCAAATACCTATATTGAACCAGATAGAAACCATATAGAATCCAGATACGTGTTTTTTATATGGTTCTATATGGCATTTTCAAAAGGGTGTGGTTTAATATGGAATTTCATTTTAAAATGTATATATATTTAATATAGATTCCCCTATATGGTTAAATATGGATCTATATGGTAATAATTTTTTCACACCCAAACCAATTGGGCCAGATAGAGCAATATGAACCTATATGGCAATCCATATAGAAATCACTTTTCTATATGGTTTTCCAGGTATGGAATTCTATCTGGTTCAATAGTGCAATGCCTGTTTCAAATTCCTATATTGAACCAGATAGATTTTTATTTTGTATTTCTATATGGCATTTTTAATAGGGTACTTCTTTAGCTTGACTAAACTTTGACAGATACATAACCTAAAAAGCCGTAAATGCCAAATTTTGAAAAGACTGCGCAATGTTCTGGCCGAACCTCCTTAAGAGCTACTAATGAGGAAGTTTTTTATTCTTACCCTTTCCACGTTCTTCGCCTGTTCCAATATACAAGCCTCGCTGCAAAAAATCGAATTCTTCCTGGCAGGTTTCTGGCAAACGACGCAGGGCATCGAGCCTGTGCTGCCGGGTACGTCAGGTTTTTTGCTGCTGTCCACGCTATCGGTCGAGGCGCGCGAGTTTCTCGAAGCTTTTCGAACGCGCCGCGCGGCCGCTTGCGGCCTTCTCAGCGAGGGATCCTTGCAGAACAAGCAAATCCACTCTTTGCCCTCGGATTCCATTTGCTGTCCCATCGCTTTGGTGATGTTCACGCACTTGCCGTGATACCATTCCTCGCACGTGTCGCAGCAGATCATGAAACGGTTGTTGTGCGGTTGGTTGCATATGCACCACAGTTTGTTCGGGTCGTCTTCGGATTCCTCCTCCTCGTCCCCGGAACTGTCCAGCTCGTTCCCGGACACGTGCTCGTCGTCGAGAGGTTTGTGCACAGGCCTAAACAGAATCATTGAAAATGCTAGTTTTAATATAAATTTCTACTTTTCCTACTTGAATAGAGATGGCCGTTCTTCATCGCTCCTTTTATTTCGACTTCTGGTCGCTGGTCGCTCAATAGGTGGAATTGTAACTATTCGACCGTCCGGTCTAACAATTTGTGTCCCTTTATATGGTGAAATATCACTTGATTCCTAAAATTAAATTTAAATATTCATTAGGGTGATTAAAAAAAAAGAATATTTTTTTAAATCCGACACTGAAAAATTGGTTCTTAGACACCTCTAGAAAGTGCTCACCAAATTTGAGTTCTTGAGTACTCATTTGACAATAATTTTTTTTTTCAATGAGTTACAAAATTATTAAAAAAATAGTAAATGCTTAAATACATCTGTCCTTTTTTGTAGAGAATTCAATTTCCTACAATATGATCTTTTTTATAAGGGACTAAAGAAAAAATGGATAACTGTGATGAGGAGTATCTTCCTATTAATATTAAGAGATCAAATATAAACTTTTTTTTAAAATATATTAGATATACGACACCCTGTATGGCGCATCTGGTACAAAAGGGAAGGATAAATTGAGTACTAAAAAAGTGAATTTTTAAATTAATTTGTGTTTTATTATTAATAATTTTGTAATTAAGTGGTCGAAAGTTGAACCGTGCATGGCTTTGCTGTAAGACACAAAAATGCAATTTTTATTTATTTTAATACAACTTTTGAGGTTCACTGGTTTTATGTGGGTGGAGAATTACATAAAAATAATACATCAGCAAAATACGTTCTTATTTATTGTTTCAGATGTGCCAGTTTCTTAAAAAGTCTTTACCAGCATCAAACCCTCAAAATTTGTATCAAAACCTTAAATAAGTTTAAGTACCTTTTTTATTATTATTTTTTTTCAAAATTTCTAAAAGTACTATTACTTTATTATCTAAGTAAAAAAAAAATGAACGTGGTGTAAGCTTACACCAAGGAATTTTGGCTATGGTTATTTGTTGTACATAAGTTTTGTCCATGTAAAGGGTTTTTATTGAATAATTTTTGATGAATTTCTTATTTATCTCAAAAATACAGGGCTGAACAGAAAAAATAAAGGTATTTTTTTAATTGAATGCACTATTTTTTTAAATTGTTTTAAGCTGAATTTAAAAATATATAACACATTTTTTTTTAATAAATGTCTTTTTTTTAGAAAATATATTCTTTTTTAAAATAATCGTTTTCTTGCATATTTCTTATCTTTCCCTATACCTGACAGAATCTAAAAACTGTAACTAAAAAATATATAACATATATATTTTTTTAATAAATGTCTTTTTTTTTAGAAAATATATTCTTTTTTAAAATAATCGTTTTCTTGCATATTTCTTATCTTTCCCTATACCTGACAGAATCTAAAAACTGTAACTAAAATTAAATTACATTTTTCTCAAAATCACCTTTCCTTACTATAGTGGATTTTTGCTGTACAGGGTGATCCCCTATAATGTCGCCACCCTTTAACTTTTTTATTTTAAGTGTCCCAAAAATTTTAAAAGTGTGGTTATGTAGGTACTAACAAATACTTTTTTTCTATGTATAAAAAATGGAAAATTGATCAATATACAGGGAAAAACAAAAAGTTTTTTTTTATGGATCACTCTATACCTATATGAATTTATTTTTCGATTCCTTGTAAAATTCTTAGCATAATTCATATAACAAACCATATACCTAAACTCAACCGTTTCTGAAATATTCGCATTCGAAATGTTATCATTAAATGTTTTTTTAAACTGTTAGAAATCCAGAAGCCTTAGTATACAAAATTTTTATAGAAAATAAATTACTATAGTGACATTAAGTCAATATTTCTTGTTAAATAAGTAAAAATGGCGTACTCAGACAGAGAAAGACAAACTATTTCAAATTATTATCTTAAAAATAATTTAAATATTTCAGAAACGGTTGAATTTAGGTATATGCTATGTTATATGAAATATGCTTAGAATTTTACAAGGAATTGAAATATAAATACATATATAGGGTAATCCATTGAAAAAAAATGGAAATTTTCAGATAAGATCGCAATTTTCTATATTATCTCTGAAACCACAATATTTATGCGATAATTAATGATGACCTATTTGTACAGAATTTAATTTAGTAACAAAATTTTAAAAAATATTTTTTTATTTTAGTGCAAATGACGAATTGACTGAATTTTTCTTCCTTTTGTATATAAGTTTTTTTTACCTTAAAGAATAACATTTACAAAATTTCTAAAAAGCGACCCACTCTAATGTAGTTACAGACCTGGCTTGTGTTTTTGTCTTTGTGTATTCAAATACATGCATTTTTTATTCGGCGTTATTTTAGACGGGCTTGGACGATTTCCGGGATTGGGTCAAACATTTTTGTCCCCTTCAAAGAAATTCTAATAAGATCACTTTATTTAAACTTGTGTTGCCATGGAATAAAAATCATGGCTTGCTTATTGTTTAATTCTTCTTTACTAAGAATTATGTCTCATATAATTGTTATACATTGTATAAATTAATAAATTAATTCACCTTGAGACAATCTATGGAACTGTAAAAAAATAGTGCATTCCAATTAAAAAAAATTCTGCTCTGTGTTTTTTAGATAAAGAAAATCTAATATCATATTCAAAAATGTTATAAAAGTTTTTGGCCAACAAATATGTATATACTGATAAAATAATGGGAGGGACAACTTTAAGCAAGACCCTGTACAACTTAAATAAGAAGCCATTAAATAGTGGGTGGAATGTATTATTAAATATTGACAGTATTCCAACAAAAGTACAATATTAAGGATATTTCACCCATGAGTATTATATACAATAAATATATTTATATACAGGGTGATATTCTCTGAGGAGACGTTTTTGAGTTAAAAGGCATTACATTTTGCAACACAGTGTATCTCACAAGTCAGAATGTGTTTGTTTAAATTTCTGCAATACAATTTGTATTGGCTTATAATATAATAAAAGCCAACTTTCATAGAAATCAAGTTTTAAACAACAGGTTTTTGAACTTGCCCCACTTTGGCTCTGGGGCACAGATTATATTCATTAAGTGTTAGTTTTGGTTTTAGTTTAATCCCTGAAGTTGTGTCTTACATTAAGAAACAAAACATCACATATTAATATTCACTCAATATGGTCTAAACCCGAAACTGCAGTAGTTAACTTTTTTTCGCAACAATTACTTTTGATTGGTCAAAAATTGACAAATAAAGCGCTCTCACTTTGGACAGATGACATGTGAAAAAAATTGTCAAGCAAATATTATATATAACAATATTATTATTGTAAAATATTTTAATAATAAAAAATTACCTGGAAACTTTCATCAGTATTGTGCATGACACTGTCATCTAAATTCATCGTGTCCTGCACACTGGCATTAAGAACACCCTCGTTGATGCCCTTGTCAATAACGCTTTGGAGCTCGGTGTTGCGCACTAGTGATTGCGCAACCTGATACAAAATATCTTCCGGGATCAAATCGTTGTTCAGATTGTCGAGGAGACTCTGATCCAGCTCCAATCCAGTACCATCCAAATTAATGTTGTCCCCTTCCACAGGTGGCACCACTGTGCCAAAATCCTCCATTGGTATATGACTTTGGTGTTCTTCAGGAGGAATCACTAGAGGCACTTGTTGAAGGGAGTGATCATTAGAATTAACAACTTCCATTAGTTCTGTAGGCTTTACTTCAATTTTTTTAGGTTTTTCGTCAATACTAGTTCTCTTCTTCACTTCACTACTAGGTCTTCTATCTTTTAATTTAATGTCCTTACTTGTGCTTAGTTTTCCATCAAAACTAACACGCCCGTGTTTAGTGGGAGAATGAGATCCATCTGAAGTTGATTTACTTCTACTTTCCTGCGTTATTTTGGCTGGTTTAGTGGGACTTGCCTCTGGAGTAGTGGGTTCCTTGCCACCCACCCTCCTGATTATATCTGGGGTGGAAAATAAGGCAAAATCATCTGGAATGGGTTTTGGAGTTTTCTTTTCTTTTTTAGGAGGTTTTTTATCTGTTGGTGTGTCTGGAGGTTTAACCTCCAGTGGTTTTTCCTGAGGTTTTTCTTTAGGTAGTTCAGGTTTATGCTGTTTAGGAGTTTCTTTATGGGATTTGGGTAACATTTTAGAGGATTCAGACTTTGTCCTTTTGCCTCTTTTGAGTTTAGGTTTAATTTCTTCCTCCATGTCAAAATCTGAATCATTTTCATCATCTTCAAATTCAATGTCAAAATCCTCATCTTCTGAATTTTCCTCCAACTCTTCTTCAATATTTTTGGGTTTTGGTTTAGGTTTAGAAGATGATATAAATTTGGACCTTCTTTGAGCTTTTGTGGATACTGGAGTTTTAACTTCTGGTTCCACAGTAGAAATATTTTCATTCTTATTATCTTTACTTTCCACTTTTTTCTCGATTTTATTCACTACTTGACTCACCACAGCTGTATTTTTAATAGGGGTTAATACTGGAATTAATGTTCTTTCCACTGTAACTTTTTTAGGTTCAACTTCTTCTCCACCATCAAGTATACTTAAAGTTTTTGCAAGTTCATCTTCTTCAGGGATTGGACTTCTCCTGGGAGATGTTAAAGGGGTATAATCATGATCCAATTTGAAATTATATAAATTTCTCGACACCTCATCCATGTTCAGCTCTTTAACCAGTATATCTAGAAATAAAAGTTAAGTTTGTTTATGTTGTCAAAGAAATAAAGAAATGACATTTAAGTACAAACAATAAATACCTTCTGTATCAGCATCTGGCAAATATGTAAGATTATCTATAGATACATCAATGCCTTTTCCATCATTTTTGTTTATGTGCATAATTTGAATGTTTGTTGCACCAGTTTTAGAGCCTATAAATAAAAGATATATGCAATTGAAAAACTTAAATCAATGATAACTTACTAAGATAGGTTTCAACAGTTTCTCGATCTGGGGTAACAGTTCCATCCTCACCCACAAGCAGCAATAAACTGTCATTAAGCATTGCATCTGTTACCTTAACAACACTATTTGCCATTGTTGAAAATCTAAAAAGTATAAAATAGATATCACAGATCATAAAGGTAAATGAATTCGATATGGCACAAATAAGAAATAAATCATATCATATCTTTTAAATAGTGTATGAAAAAGTAAGCATTATTTTAGTATTTTTATTTATAAAGTTTAATTCCAGGAATAAAATAAGAAATACAGGATATAATAAAAGGAAAAAGTAGGGTTGGACAGTGTTGAAAGAACTTTGTTAAAAATAAACACAAATAAATAAGGTTTTAGGTGGATTTTCTTTATTTTATTAAAAGATATGACAGACTTGGTTACCGTAAAATACATTTAACATGCACCGCATAACGAAAACGACTCATTTTTTATTTTTTTTACAAGCAAATATTTACTAAGAAAATTGTGTGATAATACCAAAGTTAAGGTGTAATAAACGAAATAAATGAAAATACAAGTAAACAACGAAAAATTAAATACAACAAACAAAATTTGCCCGCCTATTATTTATAGTTAGGCGTATAATCAATCGCACTTGTGTTTTTATATTGATCGTCTGCGGGGCACTTACGATGAATTCGCACTTCACTGGGCTTGTCACATATTCTTTAACAACTTAATATAATAAAAACTACTTTGAGCATCACAGACAACATATTATTCCTTTATTTACAAGGCGTTTTATTAAATAATGCGTCAGCGTCCATTTTGTTAATTTCGGAATAGCACGCCGAAATGTCATTGAACTTACAGGCACCTGTAATATTGTTTGACAAGCGGTTACCGACTGAGATAAATCTACAAAAAAAAATTATAAAATCAAAGTTAATGTACTTAAAAACAAATCCATATTGAGGATTTACATTTAGTTTCGACATTCTTATTGTTTTTGTTTTTAGTGCTTAGATTTAGGAAAAAGAAAGCAAAATTAGTTTAGTTCAATTTTGTCAACTTTCAGAAATCTACACGAGATGTCGGTAGAAATCTTCTGTCCTTTTAAAGACCTTGAAGTTTATTAGCGGGAACTAAAGGCAAAGATAAAACTGGATCCAAGCAGTGTTGCCAGAACTTATTTTCAAATAGTACTAGTTTTCAGTTAAAAAAGTACCAGATTTAAAAAAAAAGTACCACATTTTCAGAACTCAAAAATAAAGTTTTAGGTAAGGAGGGGTGAAAAATTTTTTTTATTCATTTAATATAAATTAAAACATTTATTTTTTATAGTATTAAAATTAAATTAATATTAAAATCCTATTAAAAATATTATAAATGGTATAATTACCTCTCCATAATAAATATCCCCCTATTAATATTATATAATAATTATATGCACTTAATAATTATATACACTTTTTTCAAAATACAGAAAGTTTCTATCAGAATTTTTAATGACAAGTGACAATCATGCGCAACAACTCTCTTTAGTTGGTTGGTTTAGTAGGTTTTGCCACAAGGTGGGTGTCGCCATCTATTATCATTCCGCCCAATGTTTCTAAATGTGTATTTATAGTTGCGTGTATCCGTTTGAAATTTATAATAATTTTAATTAAGTAGGGTAAAAAATTGTTATTTTATTTTTAGGCCCATATATAAAAAAGTACTGGATTTTGATCCAAGGGTACTAGGGTATAGAATGTTTTAAAAAAGTACTAGATCTAGTACAATTGTACTAGACTGGCAACACTGGATCCAAGTGGTGTTTTATTAAAACACCACTTGGATCCAGGCGAGGATAAAGGGGGGGAAAAGCATTTTATTTTTTCTTTCTCTGTATTAGGGCTGCCAGATTTTCAAAATCAAAATGCGGGAAAAAAAATTTATTCAGACTATCATACATTTTGGTCGAACATGGGATGCTCCAACTTTTAATCGAAATAATGGTTATACACACAATTGTGGATATACTATCGCTAACAAAAAAAACTCATACAGCTTAAAAATCTAGTGTTCCTGATGTTCTATCATTTCGTTGGAGTAATTATGGCTTTTAACATGATACGTCACATTTGAAAGGTCTAAAATTAAATACAAAGTTAGGTTGAAGTTTGAAAAAAAAATAATATTTCGTCATCCCTCTGTTTTTGTCAATTACTGCCCGCAAACGGCAAAGCATGGAAGTCGCCGTCTTGCTTTATCTCGTTCCAAATCGCTTCAATGGCTTGCCAGAGTTCGTCTGCATTGTTTGGTTGAAAATGTTGTTAAAAAAGTCATAATGGATGTGACAAAGCTCGATGTCAGCTTGACATTGACGGAAAAGTTTTATTCACACAGCCACAATATAGCTGTACGAGTTTTTTTGTTAGCGATAGTACCTACATAGTTATAACTTTGAATAATCACCTCAAGTGGACCCCCCATTTCCCACTTGATCGTGAAATTCAAATTAGTATACCTATTTTAATATAAAGCAGTTACCATAAATAATAAAACCCTAAAACAGTTTTTTTTAATTTTCATTTTAACCCTTAAGCAGGCACGCGGGGTGTACAAAACACCCCAGCTTCCTAAATATACCTACCGGTCTCAATTCGTTTCGAATAAATGGCGCTTACTTTCAGTACCTTCCTGTCAAAGTATTGTCAGTCATATTATATTGCCGATTTCGAAGTTAATGTAATAGGTTGTCTGATATTTTGTTTCAAACAGGCTCTGGGTGCTGTGGACACCCCGTGCGCCTTTCCACGTACAATTATTTTGCATTAATTTGTGAAGCTGATTTCTTCAACTTTTGTTATTACTTCACATTAAATAAGGTTATACCCTGTAAAAAAGTAATTGGAACGCACGACAAAATATTTATTTTTATCTTGAAAGCATTGCGTTATGTTTTGCTTGTTTCCGTTCGTTCTAATATTTTATGTAAACAACAAATAAAAATTTGCCAAAATTTCTCCGCCCAATAATTTTCAAATTATCAGTTGCCGGTAAAGAAGGGCAGATTTGTAATTTGTCCAAGGCATGGCTTTTTGCAAAAAGTAGAAGGTGTGCCAAAAACATGTGCATAAAGCACAGGAAAAATGTTTGTAAAGAAAGCTTTGATTCCATAGTAAATTCTAGTATCGAAATTGAGTGACTTTGAGCAGGCTGGGTTTCACCTCCCTATTGACTTTTCTTTACCAAATCATAATTACTTGTAAAAGTAAACCTTATCTTATGTGCTTAGTGTTTTTTTTTTGGTTTTTATTATTGTTATGACTTTTAAAATTTGTGTTTTTTAAATTAATGCTTTATTTTATTAAAATTGTCGTCTTTTGACATTTTCTTTTTTTTGTCATCTTTTATCAAATTTGAACGCAACGAAATATGTTCTCATTGTCTCTAAGCTCATCATAACTTGATAATTTTGAAAAAAAAACAAAAAAAATGTAAATAACACTCAGGGACGCTTTGCCATCAGGGGTGTCCCTGACACCCCGCGCGACCTTCTACGTTGCATAAAGAGGTGCGCCTGCATAAGGGTTAACAACAATTTTTTAATTAAAAACTAGGTAGGTAGATGAAAAAAAAAAGATATATACCGAGATATTTTAATGAAATTTTCAGGATTTTTTGTTTAATATTCACATTTTTAATTATCTTTTAAATAAACAAATGAAAATTTTAATTACTTCTCCCTCGAATTATAAATTTGTTACATGCATTGTACATTTTAGTTAAATATTCTGCAAGAAAACTCCACTGCCCGCTATTAGTTTAAACAATATGAATTTATTTATCCCCGAGCGCGAGCGCTATCGGTACACGCTAAAGAAGCATCGGGTTTTCGCAACACGCGCGCCATCTGGTGGAGTTCGATAGCATTGTGTGTAGTGATGCCGCGAGACGAGACGAGACGAGAAAAGTCCTTCTCTCGTCTCGTCTCGTGCAGCGAGAGAAAATGGGTCTCTCGTCTCGTCGAGAATACTCTTTTCTCGCTCGAGAGTGCCTTTCTCTCGTCTCGTCTCGTTTCTCTCGTGGTAAAAGTACCTAAGTATGAATACAAAAATTATTTGGAATGAAATACGAATTCGTTTATATTTTTTTTTCTACTCCTATTACGGAATATGACCGTTCTAATATCACTTTTATCTATGGAATGACATATATTCCGTAAAGTGTTACAGAATGAAATATTCTATCATCGGATGATGATAAACACTCGTGGCCACATCTCTGTTTTTAATATCTAACAAATTTTAGACCGATCCAACCTCACTTTCTTCCAATTAAATTATTTTTTTTATGGTATTTTTTGGAAACGTAGAAAAAGTATAGTCTGAAACACGTTTGGAATTGCATATTCCGCTCTCGTGAAACTGTCAAACTCGCCTTCGGCTCGTGTGACAAACTCTTCACTCTAGCGGAATATGCTGTATTCCAAACTTGTTACAGAATATACTATTATATAGAAATTTAAACTGGAAATATATCTAATATATATATATACCTAATTGGTGTCTTAAATAAACGGTTAATGTGACCAAAGGGGACATTATTTGGTTACCGCTAGCCACCCTCTACCCCTCCTTAAGGGTGAAACGGGGGGTAACTTTAGAAAGTCAAATAAAATGACCCGATTTTTTAACAGATTTTGGTAGTACATAAAAAAATGAATAACTTTTATTTGAAACTTTTTTTCATTTTATCAACAGATGGCGCTGTAATTCAAAATTTATAAAATTGCGTTTCCTTGTAAAATGTATTATTTGAAACGTTTGAAAAACAAAAATTAACATTAAATCAACAATAGTCGGCTCTGAAAACCATTTATAACAAATGTTCAAAATGTCATCCTTTCATTTCGACACATTTTTGAATGGGTAATGAATTCTGGCTCCACCATGTTGTAGGAATTGCAGCGTAAACTTTTTCTTTCAAGTAACCCCACAGGAAGAAGTCTGGCAGATCGTTTTCTAGAAAATTCCGGTAATTTTCACCATTTAATGCCGTTCGCCAAAGGTACCGCACCAAACGTTTACCGACCAGGAACGCTGGTGCTCCACTTGGTGTCGAAATGGAAGGACGACATTTCGAACATTTTACAGGGAAACCCATTTTTCTTAAATTTTGAATTACAGCGCCATCTGTTGATAAATTGAAAAAAGTTTAAAATAAAAGTTATTTATTTTTTATGTACTACCAAAATATGTAAAAAAAATGGTTATCCCATTTGACTCTCCAAAGTTACCCCCCGTTTCACCCTTAAGGAGGGGTAGGGGGTGGCTAGCGGTAGCACCAAATAATGTCCCCTTTGGTCACATTAACCTTTTATTTAAAACATTTTTCCGTGAAATGCGTATTTCTCGAGATATTGAGCTGTCTCAAGTTAAAAGAAACAGCCTGTATCGGCGCAGTAGTTTTCAATGGATCAAATCATTTGATCCATCCATCTGAAAACTACTGCGCATATATGATGTAACTACTCCAACCATCTTGTACCTACTGCGCATGTCCGTCATTTTGAATCCGCAATTTTGTTTTTTTTAAATGGATATCAAATTCTGAATCAGGGACCCCATAAATATCTGAATACTAAATTTTACCCAAACCATTAAAGCCGAACGACGAATTTTCGTCATATTGGATAAGCCATTTTATTAAAAAATAAAAAATGGATATCAAATTTGTAATCAGGCCCTCAAAAACCACATGTTGTTGATAAGTTTATTGAATAAGAATTTAAATGCTTATTAAGCATACGGGTTTTTGTAATAGTATAAGGAGTGCCATAGATGTGCTTATACAGGGTAAATTTTAAAAATTATTAT